CGGGGGGAATTGGGAAAAAAACACCCCCAAAGTAGTTGCTGATGGGGTACTGCGGTGTTGGGGGGAATGGGGAGAAAATAGGAAAAAAAAACAGGGTGAAAATGGGGGGAATCAGCAAAATTCACCCGTCAAAGCAGTGCTGAGGGGGTATTGTGGTGCTGGGGGAAAAATGGGGGGAAACGAGCAAAACCCCAAGGTGAAAACAGGCGGAAATGGGCAAAATAACCGTTACCGCGATACTGCCTCTAAATGATTTCGGTACCAGGGTAAAAGAGGAAGGAAATAGGCAAAAATAATGGTGTGAAAGCGGAGGAAAATAGGCAAAATAAAACACCCATGAGGGTGCTTCAAAATTATTTTGGTGCTGGGCTGAAAATGGAGGAAAATGGGGAAAAAAAACAGGGTGAAAATGGAGAAAAATGGGAAAAATCCTGGGTGAAAGTGGAAGAAAGCAGGAAAAAAATGGGGTGAAAACAGAAGAAAGTGGGGGAAAAAACCCTGCTGTGGCACCTAAAAAGTTATTTTGCTGCCGTAAATTATAACATTGGGGCCCAAAACGCCCCGATCTGTCCCAACGGATCCATGGGAGGCTCCGCTCCGTGCGGATTTGTTTTTCCAAAGGGAAATGGAGCTGGAAGGGGGCAACGACCCCCTGGGGATGCCGAGTTACAGCCGCTTTTTAGCTCCCCTTGTGACTAATTCCATGGAAACAGCGGGAAAAGCGGGAAAAGCAGGAGGACCAGCGCGCGGCACAAGAGGGAGACCGGGAATGTGGCTGTGGAACACGAGCACATCTCCAAGGATCCGATGGGAACGAAGTCATCCTCATCATCCTCATCCTCATGCGTCATCCCGTCCCGCGCTTCCTCGCTATCCGGAACGCGCTCCGCGGAGCTGGCACGGATCCCAGTTGGAATAGGACATGGAATGGGCCAAGGGATCCTCACCTGGGGGATTATTAGGGAGGAAAATACCGTGGCAGGAAGCGGAATTAAGAGGGAAAAACCACTCGGAATCTGCTGGAGCGAAGACTGGGAAGGAAATTCAACCGGAGCAAGGAAGGAAAGTCCATGAAAAAAGCTCTTTTTGCCAAAGTTAAGGAAAATAAGGAGCCCTAAGAGAAGGCACCGTAGGATGCACGGGGGTGGGAAACCCAC